AGTGTTCTATGTATGTAATAAGTGCAATAATAAGTATGGATGTTTTGTATGGTGAGTAGGTTGAGTGTTTTGAATATTGGTGGAGTGTGCTGCCTGTAGTGAGAATTTGTTATCATTCTAACTGCAGCCTTTTGTTGGGTAATTAGTGGTCTGAGATGGTTAGTTGTTGTTGAGCCCCATGCACAAATGGTACAATGAAGCATATGGTATCATTGTACTGTATGGTACAATGTACCATATGATACCATTGCATATGGTACCATTGTATCATATGGTACCATTGTACCAAATGGTGCCATTATACCATATGGTACAATTGTATCATATGGTACCATTGTATCATGTGCCATTGTACCAGTGTACCATATGGTACCATTGTATCATATGGTGCCATTGTACCATATGGTACAATTGCACCCTATGGCACCATTGTACCATATGGTACTATATGGTACCGTTGTATTCAACACAATAACCGCACTAATATAATGATAATGATAAACAAATTAGTGTAGTTATTGTGTTGAATACAATGAGTGTACCCTTATACAATATACATTATACTGGTCTCACAGGCCACAAATGTTATTAGAAAAAGAAAAAAATTAGAAAAGAAAAAAATATAAAAACATAAAATAAAAAAATGGGATTTTGCGGAAGTAACTGATGTTGCCACCACCCGGTCATTTTGGGTCAACTTCCCGCCGCTGTATCTCGGTAAGTACTGATCAGAAAACAAAAAATTTTGTCTTATTACCTTCACAAAAATATACTCTTTAATTCTGAAAGAAAAAATAATTTTTTTTTTTCAAAATTTCTTGGACACTGGAGCACCACTTCAGATTTTGGCCTTGGACCCTGAAGGGGTTAACACTAAGTTTTTATTTCTCTTAGTACTCACTTCTCCATTTCATCATATTTTTTTTAGTTATGGTTTGATGTGTGAACACTTGCAAATTTCTCAAAAGAACAGGCTCTCAAAAAAGATAAAATTCCATATTATTATTAGTTTATTTTTATTTTTTATTAACACATCAGCCGTTTCCCACCTAGGCAGGGTGACCCCAAAAAAGAAGAAACACCTCTATGATCATTCGCTCCATCACTGTCTTGCCAGAGGCATATTACACAGTTAAAAAACTGCAATATATCAACACCCTCCTTCAGAATGCAGGCACTGTATGTATTTCCCACCTCCAGGACTCAAATCTGGCTAACCAATTTTCCTGAATCCCTTCATGAATGTTACTCTGCTCACACTCCAACAATACATCAAGTCATAAAAAACCATTTGTCTCCACTTGCACCTATCAAACACGCTTGTGCACAGCACACTTGCTGGAAGTATAAGCCCCTCGTTCACAAAAACCTTTACCCACTCCCTCCAACCCTTCCTAGGCCAACCCCGACCCTGCCTTCCATCCATTACAGATTTATATGCTTCCCTAGTCATTCAAATGAGAGAATGGGTGAGGTTTTGTCAACAAATTTTGTTGAGAAGAATAAAAAAAAATGTTTTGGAGTGAGATTAATAAGTTGAAAAAGCCTAGGGAGTGACTGGATTTAACAGTTAAAAAAAAAAAAAGGGGAGTTATTAGATAATGATGTGGAGGTACTAGGAAAATGGAGGGAATATTTTGAGAAACTGATGAATGTAGATGAAGACAAGAAGGCAGTGATTTCTTGCACTTGCCAGTGAGGTACAACATTTCTTAGGAGTGAGGAAGAGCCAGATGTGAGTAATGGGGAAGGCATGTGAAACAGAGAGTACAATGAAAAGGGGTAAAGCAGCTGGGATTGAGAGGATCAGACTGTGTTGTTAAAAGTAGGTGGGGATATAGTTCTGGAGTAGTTGGTGCTTTGGTTCAGTAAATATAAGAAAAGGGGGAGGTGCTTAAGGAATGACAGTGTGTGTGCATAGTTCCTCTGAATAAACAAATAGAGGATAAAAGAGTGTATAAAAATTATAGGGGAATGAGCCTGTTGAGTTCTAGGTAGTAAGTTGGTAGACAGGGAGGTACCACCATCCTGCCAAGTGAGTGTGAAATGGAAACCTGTAATTGTTTTACACGATGGTAGGATTGCTGGTGTCTTTTTTTCAGTCTTATAGACATGCAAGATTACAGAGTTTATTTAATTTTCCTTGAGAATCAAACCTAGAGTTTATTAAACACTGTATTGGCCATCAATTTAGTGCTGTTTATGAGGGAGTCTACCCCTAGAGTGAAACAACCTCAAAACAACCAGTCAACCTCTCTTTCATAAAATGCTCAAACCTCTCTTAAGAAATCTTTATAACTAGTAAATTCACTTTCACTGGTCTTACCCAGTAACATTACCCTTCTTGTATAACAGCCAGGGATAGATCTTGCCACCATGGCCTGGTGGCAAAAGCTCTCACTCCACATGGTGAGGGTCTGGGTTTAATTCCTGGCGAGAGTTGAAACACTGGGCATGTTTCCTTACATTGGTTGTCTATGTTTACCCTTCTTCTTCTTCTTCTTTCCAAAAAACTGGCCATATCCTACCAAGGCAGGGTGTCCCAAAAGGAAAAATGAAAGTTTCCCCTTTTAAATTCAGAAATATATACAGAAGGGGTTACTAGCCCCATGCTCCTGGCATTTCAGTCTCCTCTTACAACATGCACGGCTCACAGAGGAAGAATTCTTTTCAGCTTTCCAATGGAGATAAGAGGAAATAAGCAAGAACAAGAACTAGTATGGAAATAGAAGAAAATCCAGATGTGTGTGTATATAAATGCTTGTCTATGCATGTGCAGTGTGACCTAAGTGTAAGTAGAAGTAGCAAGATATACCTGAAATCATGCATGTTTGCGAGACAGAAAAAAGACACCAGAAATCCTACCCTCATGTAAAACAATTACAAGTTTTCATTTTACACTCACTTGACACGACAGCAGTACCTCCCTGGGTGGTTGCTGCTCTATGTTCACCTATCAGTATAAAATGGGTACCTGGGTTGCATCCTGGGACAAAATTGACCTAATTTGCCTGAAATGCTCTGCATAACAAGTGGTTTTCAGTATTGTAATATGTCATGGATGTCAGCAAGGCCTGTATACCTTGTACATGTCTTCTTTCTTTCTTTCAATGCACTGGCCATATCCCACCAAGATGGGGTGGCCCAAAAGAAAAAACGAAAGTTTTTCCTTTTACATTTAGTAATATATACAGTAGGTGTTACTAGCCCCTTGCTCCCAGCATTTTAATTGCCTCTTATGACATGCATGGCTTATGGAGGAAGAATTCTGTTCCACTTCACCATGGAGATAAGAGGAAATAAACAAGAACAAGAACTAGTAAGAAAAATAAAAGAAAATCCAGAAGGGGTGTATATATATGCTTGTACAGCATGTGTAATGTGGCCTTAATGTAAGTAGAAGTAGCAAGATGTACCTGAAATCCTGCATATTTATGAGACAGAAAAAAAGACACCAGCAATCCTACTATCATGTAAAACAATTACAGGCTTTCGTTTTACAATCGCCTGGCAGGACAGCAGTACCTCTCTGGGTGGTTGCTGCTCTATGTTCACCCATCAGCATAAAATGGGTACCTGGGCCACATCCCAGGAAAAAATTGACCTAATTTGCCTGAAATGCTCTGTATAACAAGTGGTTTTCTATATAGTAGTATGTCACCGATGTCAGCAACGCCTGTATACCTTGTACAAGTACTTGTAGAAATAAAGATATTATTACAGTGATACCTATCATATCCGAACTATATGAGCTGAGACCGGTTCAGAAATGCGGAGTTTCCGGATACGTGAGGGGAAAAAATGCGCATCTGTACTGTCATATTGCTATCCGTACCCCGTCATATCGCCATCGGCGATTGTGTTGTGGGTTTAAAAAACGAGTCCATCATTGTCTAGAGGTGGGACCAGACACACTGGGCTCAAATAAGAGCCTCCCAGATTTCATGGACCACAGGACCATAACTTTTCAAATGGGCTGTGTGCTCTAAATACTCCAAAAGTGTTTTGACATCTGCCCTTGCTGCTTAAGTTTTTGGTCTTGGAGGCATTGGGTTGTCGTCGTCGTCGTCACTTTTGGAATGTTCTGAGTGCAACACTGATTCTGCAATCTCTGCAGATGCCTTGAAATCTGATAGGTCAATCTGCTTGCTGAGCTTTTCTGCAGCTGTTTTAAATTTGATGTCATGAACCATCATACCACTACCACGCTGCTGTAGGCACCACTTCATCATGCACTGATTGAGTTCCAAACTCTGTGGCTTCACCATCACTTTTCTTTCAGCACTTTTTCCAGTTTTTGAGGCAGCAGAAAACTCACTTGTGTAGACCATAATCTTATCATGAGCCTTCTTGATATCACAGAGGGTCAACTTTGGGTGGCGGGGGTGATGAAGAGCACAGCTCCTAGTAGTCAACCGGTACATTAAAGTGCGTGCCAAGTTTGATTCAGCCTTTTGCCATATTCTAACAGCTGTTTGGATGTCTCAGTAATAATTTTAGAATTTTACCCTTTCCCAGGGTCTATTTGGATATTGGCGAGGTTTGGATAATGGCAGGCTGGATATGTGAGGTATCACTGTATGTTATTATAAGCATAAGGGCCCCTAATCCTAGAGGGGCCCCAGAAGTGACTTTAGTCCACAGTGCTTAAAAATTCTGGGTCTACTGTATGAGAAGGGATTGTGAAGTGGCCCCCCTATAACGGTTTAAGCTTCAGGGCCCCAAAAAAGTAGGTCCACCACTTCACACAGTTGGGTGGTCACACTTGAGGCTCCTATTATAATGAGAGGACAAGGGTTCAGTCCCCTTAGAGAACTGAATCGACAAACGTTTAACACAATTATATATGTAATTCACATCCTTGTATTACACTATTATCTTCCTTTTATTCTAGTTATTACTTCAGCTGCTAGTGGACTGTTCTCATTTTGCACTGTGCAACTATGACAAAAATAACTTGCCTTACTATAATACAATACAGTAAATATATTATGGTTTACCTTTTGTTACCATGGCCTAGTTTTCCATCATCACCTTCTCCCCATGAATAAACATCTCCATCTGCAGTAAGGGCAAGGCAGTGCTTCCCGCCAGAGTTGACTGCAACTTTACGGATAACAATGTGCTGGACTGATTCTAGAAGGGTTGGGGTTGAGACTGATTCTACCCCACCAATACCAAGCCGTCCACCTGCTCCATATCCAGTAGCATAAACCTATAATAAATTTACATATCCATTTCAGTATAAAAAGGCATAGTATTTTGGCAAAGACTGTTGGAGAATGGGCAAACTAGATAATTAACAAAACATAACAGGTCTTTTAAGGCACTTCAGTCAATCAATCAATCAAAGTTTATTCTCAATAAAGATTACAATGTGGGGTTTACATATTATAAAATATTGGTTACAATGTGTGGTTTACATATTATAAAATATTGGTTACAATGTGTGGTTTAAATATTATAAAATACTAATTACAAAGAGAGCCACTATCATGCCTAGTATGACTAGGCATTTCAGGCAGACTAAGAATAATTCAAACTCTATATTGATACAGGTTATGGAGCATATTGATATTAAGCCTAGATAACTGCATTACAGTTCGTAAATTTAGCACTGAGAATGGTTTTGTCTTGGCATGATACATAGTTTCTATTAAAGCTCCTATATTGCAGTATCTCAGGCAAACTGATAACTAGTTTAAGATTCATTAGGAAATAGCTTTATTAGGTAATTTTATGTTTACAGTCATTTGGTTGAGTTTGAGTGTAAACTAGGGGGGGATCACAGATATCGAGAGTAGGTCTAGTTTGTTTTTTGTGTGTGTATGATACAAGTAAGAGAATAAGTGGTTTTCATGTAGTTAGCTGATGGTGGGGTGTGTCATGGAGATAAGATGTTTTCTAATGGTAGTTTTGAACGTGATGGTTGTGTCTGCGGTTCTAGGGCTTTCAGGTAGGGTGTTCCAGATTTTAGGTCCTTTTATGTACACTGAATTTTTGTATAGGTTTAGCTGGACACGGGGAATGTCATAGAGATTTTTGTGCCTGGTGTTATGCCTGTGGGTCCTGTCACAACTATCAAGAAAGTGTTTTAGTTTAGGGTTAATACTGGAATTTATGGTTCAGTAAATGTAGGTTGCACAGTAGTAAGTGTGGATGTTCTGTACAGTGAGTAAGTTTAGATCTTTGAAGAGTGGGGGGGGGGGAGGGGTTTGCCTGGGATTGAATTGCGTGATTATTCTTGCTGCGGCTTTTTGTTCGGTTATTGTTGGCCTTAGGTGTGTTGCTGCTGTTGATCCCCAGGCACAAATAGCATAGGTGAGGTAGGGATATATGAGTGAATAGTATAGTGTGAGAAGGGCTGATTGTGGCACGTGGTAATGTATTTTGGAGTGGATTCCAACCGTTTTGGATACTTTTTTTGTTATGTGTTGGATATGTGCTGAATTTCAGGTTGCTGTCGAGGTGTAGGCCCAGGAATTTGCCCTCAACATTTAGATTTAAAGAAAGCATTTGCTATATAGTAATTCTTTGTGGAATTGTAATCTTCAAATTATGAAACACTGGAGGAATAAAAGGCAGATTAAATATTTTGTTTGATTAGAAATATATAAAGTGATATGAGGTAAAAATGTCTGATTAAGTAATGTCACCAGCGGGGTGTTGCAAGGATTAGTGTTTGTCCTTAAAGTGTTTTTAACCCTTTGTGGATCCAAGCTGTAGATCAATGCCTTGTCCACAGGGTCCAAGCTGTAGTTCTACGCCATGAGTTCAACTCACTCATATAATCTGTGAATGGTAAATTTGTGCCTAGATATGACAGAATGGATCTATGTGGTAAGTGTGCATCATATAAAACAAATCCTGCAGCATGCAGTGCATAATGAGAAAAAAATTGCGACTGTGTTTTTTGCATTAAAATACCGACCTTGCATTGTATTTTAGTGTGGTTTTTACAGTTGTATTCGTGGTTTCTTGGTCTCATTTGACAGAATGGAAGATATATTACAGAAATAGAGATGATTTTGACTGGGTTTAGTAACGAAAATAGCTTGAAATTGAGCTCAAATTAGCAGAAATGTTTGATTTTTGCCAATGTTCAAGAGGAAACAAATGATGTTGCGCATCCAATACACGTCACCTGGTGGGTCTAATTTTTTTTTATATTTTTTTTTTATTATCACACCGGCCGATTCCCACCAAGGCAGGGTGGCCCGAAAAAGAAAAACTTTCACCATCATTCACTCCATCACTGTCTTGCCAGAAGGGTGCTTTACACTACAGTTTTTAAACTGCAACATTAACACCCCTCCTTCAGAGTGCAGGCAGGGGTGTTAATGTTGCAGTTTAAAAAAAACTGTAGTGTAAAGCACCCTTCTGGCAAGACAGTGATGGAGTGAATGATGGTGAAAGTTTTTCTTTTTCGGGCCACCCTGCCTTGGTGGGAATCGGCCGGTGTGATAATAAAAAAAAAAATATAAAAAAAAAAAATTTTTTTAGACCCACCAGGTGACGTGTATTGGATGCGCAACATCATTTGTTTCCTCTTGAACATTGGCAAAAATCAAACATTTCTGCTAATTTGAGCTCAATTTCAAGCTATTTTCGTTACTAAACCCAGTCAAAATCATCTCTATTTCTGTAATATATCTTCCATTCTGTCAAATGAGACCATGTTCATGAATGCGCTTATATTGTTTATACAATTATTACAATACTTCCTCTCCTCACTTAGTGACGTACTTGTTTACTGACGCCTCGGACTTACGACGGGCTCTCTGACCAGTATGCACGCCTAAATAAAGTATATGAGAGCTGATTTCCTTTATTCTGTTTATTATAATATACAGTACACTACCGTATAAACATTTAAAAATATACTAGAAATGTTAAAAATGGTGCAAAGGTGACATTAAAACAATATCAAAGATAGTTGACACAAACCCACTACCATTATAGTATGCTCCTTACTTAGCGACGAATTCATTTACCAATGTGGTCTTAGGAACAGAACTCCATCATTAAGTGAGGAGAGGCTGTACTGCATAACAGTAAATCTATTTTTTGGTGCGAATAAAAATTCTTTACGTAAATATCAAAATGGAATTCATCTGTAAAGCCTGGAAACATAACTAATAAACAGAAGAAATGTTATTTTAGTGCCAGGAATGCCTGCACTATTTATTCTGGACCCTATTTTGAAATTGGAATATTTTGAACTTTGTGTGAATTTGGCCAAATTACAAATTTTTGACCACTCTATTGGGTAGTTGAAATAGTTGATTGGGCAGTTTCTTGTGCTCAATTGATAAAACTGAAGTATTACTAGTGAAATAGCTAAAAATTTGGTCAACTGGAATAATGTAATTGGCCTAAAATAGGAGTCAAAGTGGGCAAAATTGCTAATGCATAAATATCACTGATGCAGTAAAATTTTTGAGTGTAATTTCATCAATTTCCCATCAAATTTCATACTTTTTGTTTTATTACCTTGAGAAAAAGATTCTCTACTATTTCATAACAAAAAATAACAAAAAATTTTTTTTTGAAAATTCTTGGACCCTGTGGACAAGGCGTAGATCTGTGACTTGGACCTTCAAAGGGTTAAACTACATAAATAGCCATGGCAGAAGGACTTGGACCTTCAAAGGGTTAAACTACATAAATAGCCATGGCAGAAGGAATAAAAACTATATGGTCAAATCTGTTTATGATGGAAAGACTCTGCAACATAAAAAAAAATTACTGAATCCATGTAAGACCCAGATAGGTTAAGACCCAGATAAGTTGAGCAAGTGGAGTGATAAATGAATGATGGAATATAATGTGGATGAACATCATTACACCTAGGTAGTAGGTTGGTAGACATATTTTCTGTCTCATAAACATGCAAGATTTCAAGTACAGTGGACCCCCGACCAACGAAGGCATTGTCTAACGATAAATTCGACTAATGAAGCGTTTGAGCGTAAAAATGTTGGCCCGACCAACGATGAAAAACTTGACCAACATGATTCGTCCCGAATGCGTCTGCATATCCCATCTGGCCTGAGCACGCCTTAGCTGCCCTGCTGTCAGTTAGTGTGCCAGTGTTTACGAGCCAGTGTGGTCGCATCCACACATACATTCGGTACATTTTGTATTATTCCAGTGTTTTTAGTGCTTGTAACTGCTAAATAAGCCACCTTGGGGCCCAAGAAAGCTTCTAGTGCCAATCCTGTGGTAAAAAGGGTGAGAATTACAACTGAAATGAAGAAGGAGATCATCACAAAGTATGAAACTGGAGTGCGTGTCTCCCAGCTGGCCAGGTTGTACAACAAACCTCAAGCAACCATTGCTACTATCTTGGCCAACAGAAAGGCAATCAAGGAAGCTGTTATTGTGAAATGTGCAAGTATGTTTTCGAAACACATATCACAAGTACAGTGGACCCCTGGTTAACGATATTTTTTTCATTCCAGAAGTATGTTCAGGTGCTAGTACTGACTGAATTGGTTCCCATAAGGAATATTGTGAAGTAGATTAGTCCATTTCAGACCCCCAAACATACATGTACAAACGCACTTACATAAATACACTTACATAATTGGTCGCATTAGGAGGTGATCGTTAAGCGGGGGTCCACTGTACTTGAAGATGTTGAGAGACTGTTACAGGTGTGGATAAACGAAAACAGATATCAGGAGATAGCATCTCTCAAGTGATATGTGAAAAGGCAAGGCAGTTGCATGATGATTTAATTAAAAAAATGCCTGCAACTAGTGGTGATGTGAGTGAATTTAAGGCCAGCAAAGGTTGGCTTGAGAGATTTAAGAATTGTAGTGGCATACACAGTGTGATAAGGCATGGTGAGGCTGCCAGTTCGGACAAAAAAGTGGCTGAGAAATATGTGCAGGAATTCCAGGGATACATAGAGGCTGAAGGATTGCAACCCCAACAAGTGTTTAATTGTGACGAAACAGGCCTGTTTTGGAAGAAAATGCCAAACAGGACCTACATTACACAGGAGGAAAAAGCACTCCCAGGACACAAGCTATGAAGGACAGGGTTACTTTAATGTTGTGTAGTAATTCTAGTGGGGATTGCAGAGTGAAGCCTCTACTCGTGTATCACTCTGAAACTCCCAGTGTGTTTAGGAAAAACAATGTCGTCAAGGCTAATTTGTGTGTGATGTGGAGGGCAAACAGTAAGGCATGGGTCACTAGGGACATTTTCTATGACTAGTTTTATCATGTGTTTGGCCCCACTGTGAAAAATTACCTCCTGGAAAATAAATTAGACTTTAAGTGCCTCCTGGTATTAGACAATGCTCTTGCTCATCCTTCAGACTTGCCAGAGCTAATTTCGGGGGAGTTGAGCTTCATAAAAGTTTTTGCCTCCTAATACAACTCCTCCCCTCCAGCCCATGGACCAGCAGGTCATTTCAAATTTCAGAAAACTGTACACCAAAGCAATGTTTCAAAAGTGCTCTGAAGTGACTGCAGACACTTGATTGACCCTAAGAGAATTTTGGAAAGATCACTTTAGTATCTTCAATTGCATAAACCTTATTGGTAAGGCTTGGGAGGGAGAGACTAACAGGACCTTGAACTCTGCTTGGAGGAAACTGTGGCCAGAATGTGTACAAGAGAGGGATTTTGAAGGGTTTGGGGCTAACCCTGAGGAGCCTATGCCAGTTGTGGAATCTATTGTGGCATTGGGGAAGTCCATAGGGTTGGAGGTTAGTGGGGAGGATGTGGAAGAGTTGGTGGAGGACGACGATGAAAAACTAACCACTGATGAGGTCACAACTGAGGAAATTGCTTCAGAGGAGGGGAGAGAGAAACTGAGGAAGTTGCCTTCTTCAACGATTAAAGAAATGTGTACAATGTAGATAAAGGTGCAAACCTTTATGGAGGAAAATCACCCTGACACAGCTATTGCAAGCTGTGCTGGTGACTTTTACAATAAGAATGTTGTGAACCACTTTAGGAAAATCTTAAAGGAACGCGAGGTACAGAGCTCTATGGACAGATTTTTGGTACGGCAGAGGTCCAGTGACTCTAAAGTTGTTCCAAGTGGCATTTAAAAACAAAGAGGGGAAGTAACCCCAGGAAAGGACTTGCTACCCAAAGTCCTTATGGAAAGGGCTTCCCCTTCCAAACAACTGTAAACTCCTCCATCATCTCCCCTCCTCCCATCTCATCACTCATCACTACATCTTCAATAAAGGTATGTATCATTTATTCTTCATTTAGTACAGTACATAATTTATTGTGCATGTATCCTTCTTTTTCTGTGTAGGAAAATGTATATTTCATGTAAAAAAAATTTTTTTTTTTGGTGTCTGGAACGGATTAATTTGATTTCCATTATTTCTTATGGGGAAAATTAATTCAACTAATGATACATCGACTTAACGACGGGCTCTTTGGAACAGATTAATATCATTGGTCGAGGGTCCACTGTACATCTTGTTACTTCTACTTACACTTAGGTTACACTACACTTGCATATACAAGAATATATATATATATGTACACCCCTCTGAGTTTTCTTCTATTTTCTTACTAGTTCTTGTTCTTATTTCCTCTTATTTCCATGGCGAAGTGAAGCAGAGTTCTTACTCCGTAAGCCATGCATGTCGTAAGAGGCGACTAACATGCCAGGAGCAAGGGACTAGCAACCCCTTCTCCTGTATACAGTACTAAAAATAAAAAGAAGTTTTGTTTGTTTTTGTTTTTTTGGGCCACCCTGCTTCTGTGGGATATGGCCAGTTTGTTGAAAAAAGAGCATAACACCTAGGTAGTAGGTTGGTAGACAGCAGTCGCCCAGGGAGGTACTTTTGTCCTACCAAATGAATACAAAACGGAAGCCTGTAATTGTTTTACATGATGGTAGGATTGCTGGTGTCTTTTTTTCTGTCTCATAAACATACAAGATTTCAGATACGTCTTTCTACTTCTACTTACACTTGGGTCACACTACACGTGCATGTACAAGCATATATATACACACCGCTCTGGGTTTTCTTCTTCTTACTAGCTCTTGTTCTTTATTTCCTCTTATCTCCATGGGGAAGTGGAACAGAATTCTTCCTCCATAAGCCATGTGTGTCATAAAAGATGACTAAAATGCCAGAAGCATGGGGCTAGTAACCCCATCTCCTGTGTATATTACTAAATTTAAAAGGAGAAACTTTTGTTTTTCCTTTTGGGCCACCCTGCCTCAGCGGGATACGGCTGGTTTGTTGAAAGAAGATGTATTATTCCTGTCACCATACAACAAACAACTTCCTTTGGGCTCAAATGTCTACTGCTGTTTAATATTCTATGTATGCCTCTGTTTACTTTGGCTCATGAGTTCTAATTCTTAATTAACCAAAATTTTATTGCAAAACAACAAATTAATGCCATTTGTGGGCTTCGTTAAAAAACATATTCACTAACCTTTCCATCAGCAGTAACAGCAAAAAGTGTCTGTTCTCCACCAATGAGCTGTATGGGTCTGAGTGCAGTCAGAGTATCACATGGGGTTGGTAGTTTAACTTTGGCTCCTTCTACACCACCCAACTGGCCACGGTGGTTATGTCCCCATCCATAGATGCTCCCACTTCCTCCCCATGATAAAGTCCAGTCTTCTGGACGTCTGAAATTTTAACAGTAATACACTTTCTGAGCAGATCTTTCAAACAAAATACATGTACTTTATCAATAAATAACACTGTTGTACTTTAGATGAAAAATGGTATGGAATGTCATTGTTTATAAGCAGTCCATAAGTAGAAAATGAAAGCAATGCAGTACAACACCTCTAATCTGAAAGCATTAAGATGAGAATCTAAGTACAGTGGTACCTTGGGATACAAATTTATTTCGTTCTAGAAGGCTGTTCGAGTGCTGATACTGAACGAATTTGTTCCCATAAAGAATAATGTAAATTAGATTAATCCGTTTCAGACCCCCAAAAATACACTTACAAAAGCACTTACATAATTGTTCGAGTTTTGAGCTGTTTATATCCAGAGGTACCACTGTACTTGATAATATTTACACTTGTATTAACCCTTTCAGGGTTGGCAGGCCCTCTCCCAAACCTGTTCTCAGGGTCAGTAAATATTCGAAAAAAAAAAAATTGCCATCAATACTTATCGAGATATGGAGGGGTGAAGTTGATAGAAATTGAACCGCATACGGGAACATCGCCGACTGCCGGTCACCCAGTAATAGTTTATTTTGTTTTTTTCTACTTTTTTCTTTTATTTTTTAATATTTTATTTTTTCAAGTAACTTTTATGGCCTCTGAGACCAATATAAAGGGTGGCCCGGTGGCCTGGTGGCTAAAGCTCCCACTTCACACACAGAGGGCCCGGGTTCGATTCCCGGTGGGTGGAAACATTTTGACATGTTTCCTTACACCTATTGTCCTGTTCACCTAGCAGCAAATAGGTACCTGGGTGTTAGTCGACTGGTGTGGGTCGCATCCTGGGGGACAAGATTGAGGACCCCAATGGAAATAAGTTAGACAGTCCTCGATGACGCATGACTTTCTTGGGTTATCCTGGGTGGCTAACCCTCTGGGGTTAAAAATCCGAACGAAATCTTATCTTATCTTATATTCACTCACTATATACTACACAATAACAGCACAAACTTTGCTGTCATTATACTGTTTACAAAACATGTTTACACAAACCAAAAATAAAAAATGTTGTTTATTACTATTTTTCTATCATATACGTATATACTCATATAGAGTCACTGGACAGGTTCCTATAACTACAAGAGGTTCTGAAAGCTTGTAGTAGTGTGGGGGTGGACTTGTAAATATGCTGAGTCACCGGTGTGTCATGTGTCACAATGATGCATCACACTACCACTCACTAACCTCACTGCCTTCCACAACACATCCCTTCCTCCCCACACACCTACCTTCCTTTTCTTCCTTCATTCCATCCTCTCATCTCTTCCTGCCTACCTTCCCTCCTCCTCCTCCTCCTCATCTCTTTCATACCTACTTTCCCTCCTTCCTTCCCTCCCTCCTTCCTTCCCTCCTTTCTTCCCTCCCTCCTTCCTTCTCTCCTTTCTTCCCTCCCTCCTTTCTTCCCTCCTTCCTTCCCTCTTTCCTTCCTTCCTTCAAGTAACTTTTCTGGCCTGTGAGACCAATATAAGGTGCTGCATATTGAATGTATATTCACTCATTGTTTTTTTTTTTTATTATTATCACACTGGCCGATTCCCACCAAGGCAGGGTGGCCCGAAAAAGAAAAACTTTCACCATCATTCACTCCATCACTGTCTTGCCAGAAGGGTGCTTTACACTACAGTTTTTAAACTGCAACATTAACACCCCTCCTTCAGAGTGCAGGCACTGTACTTCCCATCTCCAGGACTCAAGTCCGGCCTGCCGGTTTCCCTGAATCCCTTCATAAATGTTACTTTGCTCACACTCCAACAGCACGTCAAGTATTAAAAACCATTTGTCTCCATTCACTCCTATCAAACACGCTCATGCATGCCTCCTGGAAGTCCAAGCCCCTCGCACACAAAACCTCCTTTACCCCCTCCCTCCAACCTTTCCTAGGCCGACCCCTACCCCGCCTTCCTTCCACTACAGACTGATACACTCTTGAAGTCATTGTGTTTCGCTCCATTCTCTCTACATGTCCGAACCACCTCAACAACCCTTCCTCAGCCCTCTGGACAACAGTTTTGGTAATCCCGCACCTCCTCCTAACTTCCAAACTACGAATTCTCTGCATTATATTCACACCACACATTGCCCTCAGACATGACATCTCCACTGCCTCCAGCCTTCTCCTCGCTGCAACATTCATCACCCACGCTTCACACCCATATAAGAGCGTTGGTAAAACTATACTCTCATACATTCCCCTCTTTGCCTCCAAGGACAAAGTTCTTTGTCTCCACAGACTCCTAAGTGCACCACTCACTCTTTTTCCCTCATCAATTCTATGATTCACCTCATCTTTCATAGACCCATCCGCTGACACGTCCACTCCCAAATATCTGAATACGTTCACCTCCTCCATACTCTCTCCCTCCAATCTGATATTCAATCTTTCATCACCTAATCTTTTTGTTATCCTCATAACCTTACTCTTTCCTGTATTCACCTTTAATTTTCTTCTTTTGCAACCCTACCAAATTCATCCACCAATCTCTGCAACTTCTCTTCAGAATCTCCCAAGAGCACAGTGTCATCAGCAAAGAGCAGCTGTGACAACTCCCACTTTGTGTGTGATTCTTTATCTTTTAACTCCACGCCTCTTGCCAAGACCCTCGCATTTACTTCTCTTACAACCCCATCTATAAATATATTAAACAACCACGGTGACATCACACATCCTTGTCTAAGGCCTACTTTTACTGGGAAAAAATTTCCCTCTTTCCTACATACTCTAACTTGAGCCTCACTATCCTCGTAAAAACTCTTCACTGCTTTCAGTAACCTACCTCCTACACCATACACTTGCAACATCTGCCACATTGCCCCCCTATCCACCCTGTCATACGCCTTTTCCAAATCCATAAATGCCACAAAGACCTCTTTAGCCTTATCTAAATACTGTTCACTTATATGTTTCACTGTAAACACCTGGTCCACACACCCCCTACCTTTCCTAAAGCCTCCTTGTTCATCTGCTATCCTATTCTCCGTCTTACTCTTAATTCTTTCAATTATAACTCTACCATACACTTTACCAGGTACACTCAACAGACTTATCCCCCTATAATTTTTGCACTCTCTTTTATCCCCTTTGCCTTTATACAAAGGAACTATGCATGCTCTCTGCCAATCCCTAGGTACCTTACCCTCTTCCATACATTTATTAAATAATTGCACCAACCACTCCAAAACTATATCCCCACCTGCTTTTAACATTTCTATCTTTATCCCATCAATCCCGGCTGCCTTACCCCCTTTCATTTTACCTACTGCCTCACGAACTTCCCCACACTCACAACTGGCTCTTCCTCACTCCTACAAGATGTTATTCCTCCTTGCCCTATACACGAAATCACAGCTTCCCTATCTTCATCAACATTTAACAATTCCTCAAAATATTCCCTCCATCTTCCCAATACCTCTAACTCTCCATTTAATAACTCTCCTCTCCTATTTTTAACTGACAAATCCATTTGTTCTCTAGGCTTTCTTAACTTGTTAATCTCACTCCAAAACTTTTTCTTATTTTCAACAAAATTTGTTGATAACATCTCACCCACTCTCTCATTTGCTCTCTTTTTACATTGCTTCACCACTCTCTTAACCTCTCTCTTTTTCTCCATATACTCTTCCCTCCTTGCATCACTTCTACTTTGTAAAAACTTCTCATATGCTAACTTTTTCTCCCTTACTACTCTCTTTACATCATCATTCCACCAATCGCTCCTCTTCCCTCCTGCACCCACTTTCCTGTAACCACAAACTTCTGCTGAACACTCTAACACTACATTTTTAATCCTACCCCATACCTCTTCGACCCCATTGCCTATGCTCTCATTTGCCCATCTATCCTCCAATAGCTGTTTATATCTTACCCTAACTGCCTCCTCTTTTAGTTTATAAACCTTCACCTCTCTCTTCCCTGATGCTTCTATTCTCCTTGTATCCCATCTACCTTTTACTCTCAGTGTAGCTACAACTAGAAAGTGATCTGATATATCTGTTGCCCCTCTATAAACATGTACATCCTGAAGTCTACTCAGCAGTCTTTTATCTACCAATACATAATCCAACAAACTACTGTCATTTCGCCCTACATCATATCTTGTATACTTATTTATCCTCTTTTTCTTAAAATATGTATTACCTATAACTAAACCCCTTTCTATACAAAGTTCAATCAAAGGGCTCCCATTATCATTTACACCTGGCACCCCAAACTTACCTACCACACCCTCTCATTGTATGCTACACAATAACTGCAGTTATTATATTGTTTACAAAACATGTTTACACAAACCAACAATAAAAAATGTTGTTTATTACTGTTTTTCTAACACATCTATACACATATAAAGTCACTGGACACTTCTCAGAACTGCTACAGCTTCTGTAAAGCTCGAAGTTGTTGTGTGGGGGTGGACTTGTAAATATGCTGAGTCACCGGCCTAATTAGTGTCACAATGACAAATAACACCACCACTCACCACCCTCACTGCCTGTCAACACCCATCCCTTCCTCCCCACCCCACCAACCCACATGGAAATAAGTCGCTGAATTTTTTGAGTTATCCTTTGGTTGACGGTCGCCTTCCGTTCTTCCCTCCTTCCTTCCTTCTTTTCTTCCTTCCCTCCTTTCTTCCTTCCCTCCTTCCTTCCTTCCTCTCATCTCTTCCTTTCTTCCTTCCTCTCAGCTCTTCCTTTCTTCCTTCCTCTCATCTCTTCCTTCTTCCTTCCTTCCCTCCTTCCTTCCTTCCTTCAGGCTGGTTTCCTAGGCATTGCTTTCAGTCACAAACTCAAAACCATGAAATTCATCTTCACTGACACTTCCATCTGTGTTTGAACTGTCACTTGGGAACAAAAGAGCCCCAATTAGCCGAGAAGTGAGGAGTTTCATAGAGGAGTGAGGAGTTTCTTACCGCTAGACATGGTGAACAAGGTGTAATAAAATGGCTTTCCCACAATGCACCATTGGGTCCCCAATTTTTTTTATACCACGCACACTGACCATGGAGACCCATTCCCTCACATCCAGGACTACCAGCCTTTTTCTGCTTGATTTGAGGACACTAGAATTTATGCGTACTAGTACGGCACCAACCCTGAAAGACATACTGTTGGTAGAATTACTGACAATTTTTTTTTCAATGAACCGGCCGTATTCCACCAAGGCAGGGTGGCCCAAAAAGAAAAGCGAAAGTTTCTCTTTTTAAATTTAGTAATTTATACAAGAGAAGGGGTTACTAGCCCCTTACTCCCGGCATTTTAGTCGCCTCTTACAACATGCATGGCTTACGGAGGAAGAATTCTGTTCCACTTCCCCATGGAGATAAGAGGAAATAAACAAGAACAAGAACTAGAAAGAAAATAGAAGAAAACCCGGAGGGGTGTGTATATATATGCTTGTACATGTATGTGTAGTGCGACCTAAGTGTAAGTAGAAGTAGCAAGACGTACCTGAAATCTTGCATGTTTAAGAGACAGAAAAAAGACACCAGCAATCCTACCATCATGTAAAACAATTACAGGATTCCGTTTTACACTCACTTGGCAGGACAGTAGTACCTCCCTGGGAGGTTGCTGTCTACCAACCTACTACCTACTAATTACTGACAATATGTAAAGTAAAAGGACACGAGTGCAACTAATGTGATAATTTATTGTGGCAATGTTTCGCTCTCCAGGAGCTTTATCAAGCTGTTACCAAACGGCTTGATAAAGCTCCTGGAGAGCGAAACATTGCCACAATAAAATGTCACACTAGTTGCACTTGTGTCCTTTAACTTTAAATATTTACACTTGTTTCAAGTTTATTTTTGGCACTATCTAGGTGCCAATATTATTTGAAATGCTGGGAAATGAAGTATGTGTTAAGGCTCCTGATACTTGAGTGCAGGTGGCTGTACTCTTAATCACTTTTTCTGCATCCACATGTTCAAAAAGTATTACATGCAATGGGCAGGTACAAGTACACTATAATGCCTAGTTGACTAGAATCACTGTGAGCTGGCTCTGTATAGTGAACTGATCTCTTCACTTAGTCACTTTTACCTATTCCACATAAATTATATTTATGATTTGATTTTCTTCCCATATGATCTCTTAACCTAGTCACTTTTACCTATACCACATGAATTATATTCATGATGTCTTTCCCATAAATGTTTTTATTTCATAATAGTTGAAAATAATTTAATATCGGATCAGTACTGGCAGCCTCCACATCCATAAGTGTCTGGTGGAATTTTTTCAGGGAATAAGGGCAAAGGTTTCCAAGAGAAAGGGGTAAAGGGATAAGCAAACCATCAAAGTGGTTTTCTATTCCTGATACAGACCTGATCAAGTGAGGAAGCACCTGCCCACTCCTCTCCCTTCCTTCCTTCCTTACATCCTCCAGCTGATGCCCATGCCTATATCCTCAACACTTTTATCACTTTCTTCACTATATAGAATCTTCTTTTCAAGGCTTTTCACCAGCTGGCTGCACCAGATTTTAAAGTGCCAGCAAATATATTAGCACTTGCAGCGCTTTTCACATTCTGTATGCTTACCTGAGGCATCAGCATTAACAACTAATGTATATTTGCTATCCTGAGCTCATACATCACCACAAAAAAAGTTCAGAAATTTTTTTGTTAATAAGCCCTCCAGACTTATACACAAAAATGCTTGGGTTGGTCCACCAGGAGAAGACTGAACACAAGGAGTATGATGCATTAATGATCGTAGGAGTGAGGAATTTCCTAGCTAGCCACTCTTCCATCCACCATGAGGCCTGGTCACAGACCAGGCCATGGGGGCATGATCCCTGAAACCATCTCCAGGTATATTTCAGGTATACACAGCACTTGGGGAATGAGAGATAATCAAGTTTTATCCACAAAAGGGGAGGGGTAGCTCCAATTCCTTGGATCAATAGCCTTTCACTAACATCAAGGCAGACCCACTGAAGAAAGAGATGTTGAGAAAGGACATTGGCACACAATGTAAGAAAAATTAACATATACTTAAACCACTTAGACTGTGCAAGAAGGTTTACACTGGCAGCCCCGCTCTTGTCATTATATTTATTTGTGCAGCAATTTTGCCTTATTTATTAATGATTTTCTCTCTTAGTCACTAAGGGGGCTAAATATAGTGTCACTGCAATTTGAAAATATAAAGCAGACAAATCACTTATTAATTACCTGTTAAACCAAAGCAACAATTGTTCATCATGTTGATGTAAAAACATATTATGGTCTTCATGTTCAAGAGACAGTACCTCTCCTTCACCAAGCATTTCACAAAGCTTCTTTCGTACCTGATGAAAAACAAACTTCCATGTATTCAATGTATATCCTTCATAAATGTACATTATTTTCCTTAAGCTATTATTTACAACAAAATCTGCACTGAAATTATTTCAATATTTAATTATTTACTATACTTCATAGACAAGATAGAAACTTTGGTACTTATTACATACATCACTACAGAATCCAGATGGCAGAGAAGTTCGCTCAATTAGTGATTTTATGACTCTGCAAGCGACGCAGTAGCGTCTAAACCATGCCCACTTGTGTGCTTCACCAGAACCAACTCCATTGTCTAACTCCAGGTCACAGGCTAGCCCAACTAATACCTAATCAGGAAAAAAAATCACAATCAAATTATGAATAATAAAATGAAAAAATCAAAAGATTAATCAACCTAAGCCTTTCCACAGCTAATTAACCCATTCAGAATTGATAATTAAATAAATGTAAAAGTTGAATTAGGTAATAGGTTGGTAAACAGCAACCGTCCACGGAGGTACTACCGTCCTGCGAAGTGAGTGTAAAATTAAAGCTTGTAATTGTTTTACATGATGGTAGGATTGCTGGTGTCATTTTTTCTGTCTCATAAACATACAAGATTTCAGGTACATCTTGCTACTTCTACTTACACTTAAGTCACACTACACATACATGTACAAGCATATATATATATACACCCCTCTGGGTTTTCTATTTTCTTTCTAGTTCTTGTTCTTGTTCTTGTTTATTTCCACTTATCTCCATGGGGAAGTGGAACAGAATTCTCCCTCCATAAGCCATGCGTGTTGTAAGAGGCGACTAAAATGCCGGGATCAAGGGGCTAGTAACCTCTTCTCCTGTATATATTACTAAATGTAAAAGGAGAAACTTTCGTTTTTACTTTTGGGCCACCCCGCCTTGGTGGGATACGGCTGGTGTGTTGAAAGAAAGAAGAAGAATGCTATGATTAACCTCATCCTTCATAAATCCATCCGCTAACACATCAACTCCCAAGTATCTGAAAACATTCGCTTCTTCCATACTCCTCCCCAATTTGATATCCAAATTTTCTTTATCTAAATCATTTGATACCCTCATCACCTTACTCTTTTCTATGTTCACTTTCAACTTTCTACCTTTACACACACTTCCAAACTCATCCACTAACCTTTGCAATTTTTTCTTAGAATTTCCCATAAGCACAGTATCATCAGCAAAAAGTAACTGTGTCAATTCCCATTTTGTATTTGATTCCCCATAATTTAATCCGAACCCTCTCCCGAACACCCTAGCATTTACTTCTTTTACAACCCCATCTATAAATACACCTACCATCCGACTTACGACTGAGTTCAGTTCCGAGAAACCGGTTGTAAGTCGAAATGGTCGTAAGTCGAACTTTACTACTGAATATCAACAAAACATTTTTGTAATGACTTTGTTTTATTGTATTATTTTGGTATTTCATGTTTTACTTTACTTTTTATGTTGTTAGTACTGTATTTTATACCGTAAGGTTTAGGATAAACACTGTGTACAACACAAATAGTTGTTTATTTCCCAGAAATTTGGCATATAAAACACGGTCGTAAGTCGAGTGGTCGTAAGTCGAGCAGGTCTTAAGTCGGATGGTAGGTGTATATTAAACAACCATGGTGACATTACACATCTCTGTCTAAGACGTACTTTTACTTTGAAGTAGTCTCCCTCTTTTGGGTCTATATGAGAAAGATTTTTTTAAGAATATTAATATAGTGTAATTCGATACCAAATAAGTTAAAATAAAAAATTATAAGATTATTAAAGTATCGTGTAGGCTAGCTGTTGCTGGTTACGAAGGTGACCCCATAATAGTTCAGGCTTCAGGACCCCAGAAATGTAGATCCGCCACTGCCATGGGATGTGTAATTGTATTTTATATAAAGCAAAATTGGGTACATGGGCAGTATATTGCTACTCTACTCTTTGATAGTAGCATTAGCAGAAAAAAAAACTACTTTTACCCAGATAACTGCAGGAGGGGTGTTAATGTTGCAGTTTAAAAACTGTAGTGTAAAGCACCCTTCTGGCAAGACAGTAATGGAGTGAATGATAGTGAAAGTTTTTCTTTTTCGGGCCACCCTATCTTGGTGGGAATCGGCCAGTGTGATAATAATAACTGCAATCAAATCTCTGTCCTAGATTTTTGCTTGGCCGACTTCATGGGACTGAAAAATGACTTGGGTGGGCTAAATTGGGATGTACTGACTATGGGTCAGGTAGGTGATCTTGGTTGCCAATATGACATTTTTCAGAGCATAGTTCTAGCTGCCCAGACAACTTTTGTTCCGAGTAGGGAAATTAGATCTAACAAAAATGATCCCAAATGGATGAACAATAGATTAAAACATCTCATTGGTCAAAAGAGAGGCATATATAGGGGTATCAAAAGAGGGGATGGGCAGTTAAGAAATCAATATATTCAATTAAAGAGAGAAATAAAGAAAGGAATAAGAAAAGCAATAAGGGATTATGAGGCTAAGGTCGCAAGGGATTCAAAGACTAACCCAAAAGGGTTCTTTCAGGTATACAGAAGTAAGTTTAGGGACAAGATTGGCCCACTTATGAGTAACTCTGGTCAGATCACTGACAGTGATAAGGTTATGTGTGAAATTCTCAATACCTACTTCCTCTCAGTTTTCACCCAGGAAAATACTAGCGATATTCCTGAAATAATAGCTTACGTAGAACTGGATGATAATAAACTATGCACAATTGCGGTAACTAGTGACATGGTCCTCAGACAAATAGAGAAACTAAAACCTAACAAATCCCCAGGTCCTGATGAACTGTTTGCAAGGGTGTTAAAGGAATGTAAAGGGGAACTTAGAATACCTTTGGCTAATCTTTTTAACATATCACTACAAACTGGCATAGTGCCTGATAAGTGGAAAATGGCAAATGTAGTACCTATTTACAAGGCAGGTGACAGGTCCTTGGCTTCGAACTATAAACCAATAAGCCTTACCTCCATAGTGGGAAAATTTATGGAATCAATAATTGCCGAAGCAATTTGTAACCATCTTGATAAGCAGAGATTGATTAATGAATCTCAACACGGTTTTACAAAGGGGCGTTCCTGTCTTATGAATTTACTAACTTTTTTCACTAAGGTGTTTGAGGAGGTAGATCATGGTATTGAATACGATATTGTGTATATGGACTTCAGTAAGGTTTTCGATAGAGTTCCACACCAGAGGCTATTGAGGAAACTTAAGGCACACAGAATAGGAGGAGAAATTTTTTCCTGGGTAGAGGCATGGCTGACAAATAGGCAGCAGAGAGTTTGCATAAATGGGGAGAAATCAGAATGGGGGCACGTCACAAGCGGTGTTCCTCAGGGGTCAGTGTTGGGCCTGTTGTTGTTCACAATTTACATAAACGACATAGATGAGGGAATAAATTGTGACATAACAAATTTGCTGATGACACCAAAATAGGCCGTCCAATTCATTCTAATGAGGACACTAGAGCACTCCAGGATGATTTGAATAGACTGACGCAATGGTCGGAGAAGTGGCAGATGCAGTTTAACATTGACAAATGCAAAGTTCTAAATGTTGGACAGGTAAATAACCATGCCACATATAAACTAAATAATGTTGATCTTAATACTACATTTACCCCTGGCACCCCAAATTTACCTACTACTCCCTCCATAACATTTTTACCCACTTTAGCATTGAAATCCCCAACCACCATTACTCTCACACTTGATTCAAAACTCCCCACGCATTCACTCAACATTTCCCAAAATCTCTCTCTCTCTCCTCTACACTTCTCTCTTCTCCAGGTGCATATACACTTACTATAACCCACTTTTCACATCCAACCTTTATTTTACTCCACATAATCCTTGAATTAATACATTTATCGTCCCTCTTTTCCTGCCATATCTTATCCTTCAACATTATTGCTACTCCTTCTTTAGCTCTAACTCTATTTGAAGCCCCTGACCTAATCCCATTTATTCCTCTCCACTGAAACTCTCCCACCCCCTTCAGCTTTGTTTCACTTAAAGCCAGGACATCCAGCTTCTTCTCATTCATAACATCCACAATCATCTCTTTCTTATCATTTGCACAACATCCACGCACATTTAGACTTCCCACTTTGACAATTCTCTTCTTCTCATTCTTTTTAGTAATCTTTACAGGAAAAGGGGTTACTAGCCCATTGTTCCTGGCATTTTAGTTGACTTTTACAACACGCATGGCCTACGGAGGAAAGATTCTTATTCCACTTCCCCATGGACATAAAAGGAAAAAGTAATAAGACAAAGAACTATTAAGATAAAATCAAAGAAAACTTAGATGCGTGTGTATAAATAAATGTGTACATGTATGTGTAGTGTGACCTAAGTGTAAGTAGAAGTAGCAAGACATACCTGTAATCTTGCATATTTATGAGACAGACAAAAGACACCAGCAATCTTACCATCATGTAAAACAATTACAGGCTTTCGTTTTACACTCACTTGGCAGGACGGTAGTACCTCCCTGGGTGGTTGCTGTCTACCATCCCACTACCTACAAAATCATTCATAACGTATGTAAATATAATACATGGAATCTTATTCATTTATGCAATAAAGAGGAAATAATGGCTTCCATATTCCAGAAAATTTCACACTGCAAGGGTTTCAAATTATTAAAGTTGCATTGGTATTGCATTATACTAAAGTTAATATGAAAGTAATGAATGAATGGAAAATTGCGCAATGACAGGAAAAGCATAGATGGGTTAAAATATAAAGAGAAAATCGAAAGTGTTTGAAGGGGTATGGTTTGCCATCAAAGGTGTTTCAATTAGATTCCATAAGAAATGAATTTGGTCAGATACCTTAGCATGGTACTGGTTTGCCATAAAGGAAATTCAAACTGCTTAATACGTAAAAATACTTTAATATGTATTCTTTCTTCTTTCTTTCAACACACTGGCCATATCCCACTGAGGCAGGGTGGCCCGAAAGGAAAAACGAAAGTTTCTCCTTTTCTTCTTCTTTCTTTCAGCACACTGGCCGTATCCCACCGAGGTGGGGTGGCCCAAAAGGAAAAACGAAAGTTTATCCTTTTACATTTAGTAATATATACAGAAGAAGGGGTTACTAGCCCCTTGCTCCTGGCATTTTAGTCGCCTCTTACAACACGCATGGCTTACGGAGGAAGAATTCTGTTCCACTTCCCCATGGAGGTAAGAGGAAATAAACAAGAACAAGAACTAGTAAGAAAATAGAAGAAAACCCAGCAGGGTGTGTATATATATGCTTGTACATGTTGTGTGTAGTGTGGCCTAAGTGTAAGTAGAAGTAGCAAGACGTACCTGAAACCTTGCATGTTTATGAGACAGAAAAATGGACGCCAGCAATCCTACCATCATGTAAAACAATTACAGGCTTTCGTTTTACGCTCACTTGGCAGGACGGTAGTACCTCCCTGGGTGGTTGCTGTCTACCAACCTACTACCTAGGTTTAATATGTACTATGATGCTAAATCTTTACCTTAAAGAATTGAGAATGCATCAGATGCTTTCCTCCCCGAACTAGAGGATCTTCGTATTCAGCCTGGCGAAGAAGAGCTTCTGGCAACCCTTTCAGCAGGCTGACAAGAGGCATTTCAGGAGTAGTTCTGACTTCGACCAGCGGTTTCACAAAACTACCGGATGATTCTAAGCTCTCTGTGCTTCCTCGTAATGAAGGTGGGGCAGGAGGAGCAAGTGACTGGGGTGCTGAGGTAGGCACACTTGGAACTGATGAGGACTGAGGAACTGGAGAAATAGGTCTAGATGGAGCAGGTGTAGAACTAGAGGAATATGATGCTGAGAGAAGAGCTCTAATATTGAGTCCAGATCCCAAATCTGTGGTAACAATCTTTCGAAGAGTTTTGAGACCCCACATGCGCTGACTAGGTGCTGTAACAAACAAATATTGAATAAGAACAGTATTTATAATAGAAAATGGAGAGTTGGATGACTTTTCAAACTTTACAAAATCCTATGAGAATTTAATTTCATTAAATTTCATTATATATATCAGGTTACAAACAGGAAAATAATTCTCTTTTTTATTAACACATCAGCTGTTTCTCACCAAGATAGGGTGGCCTGAAAAAAAAAAGCTTTCACTATCATTCACTCCATCACTGTCTTGCCAGAGGCATGCTTACACTACAATTACAAAACTGCAACATTAACACCCTTCCTTCAGAGTGCAGGAACTGTACTTCCCATCACCAGGACTCAAGTCCAGCTAACTGGTTTCCCTGAATCCCTGCTCACACTCCAACAGTACGTCAAGTCCTAAAACCTATTTGTCTCCATTCACTCTTACCTAACACGCTCACACATGCTTGCTGGAAGTCCAAGCCCCTTGCACACAAAACCTCCTTTATCCCCTCCCTCTAACCTTTCCTAAGTCGATTTCTACCCCGCTTTCCCTCCACTAAAGATTTATACACTCTCAAAGTCATTTTATTTTGTTCCAGCCTCTCTACATGTCCGAACCACCTCAACAACTCCTCCTCAGCCCTCTGGATATAAGTTTTGGTAATCCAGCACCTCCTGCTAATTTCCAAACTACAAATTCTCTGCATTATATTCACACCACACATTGCCATGAGACATGACATCTCCACTGTATCCAGCCTTCTTGTTGAAACATTCATCACCCATGCTTCACACCCATATAGGAGCATTGGTATAACTATACTCTCATACATTCCCCTCTTTGCTTCCATGGACAAAGTACTTTGTCTCCACAGACTCCTCAGTGCACCACTAACCATTTTTTCCATGCCAGTTCTATGATTTACCCCATCTTTCATAGACCCATCTGCTGACATGTCCACTCCTAAATATCTGAATACATTCATCTCCTCCATACTCTCTCCCTCCAATCTGATATCCACTCTCTCATTACCTAATTTTTTTGTTATACTCATCACCTTACTTTCCTATATTCACTTTTAATTTTCTTCTTTTACATACCCTACCGAACTCATTCATCAGCCTCTGCAACTTCTCTTCAGAATCTCGCAAAATCACAGCGTCATCAGCAAAGAGCAACTGTGACAACTCCCATTTTGTGTCGATTCTTTATCTTTTAACCCTACACCTCCTGCCAACACCCGAGCATTAACTTCTCTTACAACCCCATCTAGAAATATATTAAACAACCACGGTGACATCACATCCTTGTCTAAGGCCTACTTTTACTGGGAAATAATCTCCCTCTCTCCTACATACTCTAAACTGAGCCTCACTATCCTTGTAAAAACTTTTCACTGCTTACAATAATCTACCTCTTATTCCATACATTTGCAACATCTGCCACATGGCCCCCCTATTTACCTTGTCATATGCCTTTTCTAAAGCCTTAAATGCCACAAAAACCTCTTTACCCTTATCTAAATACTGTTCACCTCTATGTTTCACTGCAAACACTTGGTCTACACACCCCTTACCTTTCCTAAAGCCTCCTTGTTCATCTACTATCCTACTCTCTGTCTTACTCTTAATTCTTTCAATAATAACTCTATCATACACTTTACCAGGTGTACTCAACAGACTTTTTTTTTTTTTCAACAAACCAGCCGTATCCCACCAAGGTAGGGTGGCCCAAAAAGAAAAACGAAAGTTTCTCTTTTTAAATATAGTAATTTATACAAGAGAAGGGGTTACTAGCCCCTTGCCCCCAGCATTTTAGTCACCTCTGACAACACGCATGGCTTACGGAGGAAGAATTCTGTTCCACTTTCCCATGGAGATAAGAGGAAATAAACAAGAACAAGAACTAGAAAGAAAATAGCAGAAAACCCAGAGGGGTGTGTATATATATATGCTTGTCTTCTTTAAACACACCGGCCGTATCCCACCGAGGCGGGGTGGCCCAAAAGGAAAAACGAAAGTTTCTCCTTTTACATTTAGTAATATATACAGGAGAAGAGGTTACTAGCCCCTTGCTCCCGGCATTTTAGTTGCCTCTTACAACACGCATGGCTTACGGAGGAAGAATTCTGTTCCACTTCCCCATGGAGATAAGAGGAAATAAACAAGAATAAGAACTAGAAAGAAAATAGAAGAAAGCCCAGAGGGGTGTGTATATATGTATATATGTAAAGCAGCTGGAACTGATGGGATCATGACAGAAATGTTAAAAGCAGGGGGGGATATAGTGTTGGAGTGGTTGGTACTTTTGTTTAATAAATGTATGAAAGAGGGGAAGGTACCTAGGGATTGGCGGAAAGCATGTATAGTCCCTTTATATAAAGGGAAAGGGGACAAAAGAGATTGTAAAAATTATAGAGGAATAAGTTTACTGAGTATACCAGGAAAAGTATACGGTAGGGTTATAATTGAAAGAATTAGAGGTCAGACAGAATGTAGAATTGCGGATGAGCAGGGAGGCTTCAGAGTGGGTAGGGGATGTGTAGATCAAGTGTTTACATTGAAGCATATATGTGAAAAGTATTTAGATAAAGGTATGGAAGTTTTTATTGCATTTATGGATTTAGAAAAGGCATATGATAGGTAGTAGGTTGGTAGACAGCAACCACCCAGGGAGGTACTACCGTCCTGCCATGTGAGTGTAAAACGAAAACCTGTAATTGTTTTACATGATGGTAGGATTGCTGGTGTCTTTTGTCTGTCTCATAAATATGCAAGATTACAGGTATGTCTTGCTACTTCTACTTACACTTAGGTCACACTACACATACATGTACATGTTTATTTATACACACTCATCTGAGTTTTCTCTGATTTTATCTTAATAGTTCTTGGTCTTATTACTTTTCCTTTTATGTCCATGGGGAAGTGGAATAAGAATCTTTCCTCCGTAAGCCATGCGTGTTGTAAAAGTCAACTAAAATGCCGGGAACAATGGGCTAGTAACCCCTTTTCCTGTAAAGATTACTAAAAAGAATAAGAAGAAGAAAATTGTCAAAGTGGGAAGTCTGAATGTGCGTGGATGTTGTGCAAATGATAAGAAAGAGATGATTGTGGATGTTATGAACGAGAAGAAACTGGATGTCCTGGCTTTAAGTGAAACAAAGCTGAAGGGGGTGGGAGAGTTTCAATGGAGAGGAATAAATGGGATTAGGTCAGGGGTTTCAAATAGAGTTAGAGCTAAAGAAGGAGTAGCAATAATGTTGAAGGATAAGCTATGGCAGGAAAAGAGGGACTACAAATGCATAAATTCAAGGATTATGTGGAGTAAAATAAAGATTGGATGTGAAAAGTGGGTTATAGTAACCGTGTATGCACCTGGAGAAGAAAGAAGTGTAGAGGAGAGAGAGAGATTCTGGGAAATGTTGAGTGAATGCATGGGGAGTTTTGAATCAAGTGTGAGAGTAATGGTGGTTGGGGATTTCAATGCTAAAGTGGGTAAAAATGTTATGGAGGGAGCAGTAGGTAAATTTGGGGTGCCAGGGGTAAATGTAAATGGGGAGCCTTTAATTGAGCTATGTGTAGAAAGAAATTTGGTAATAAGTAATACATATTTTATGAAAAAGAGGATAAATAAATATACAAGGTATGATGTAGCACGTAATGAAAGTAGTTTGTTAGATTATGTATTGGTGGATAAAAGGTTGATGGGTAGGCTCCAGGATGTACATGTTTATAGAGGGGCAACTGATATATCAGATCATTATTTAGTTGTAGCTACAGTTAGAGTAAGAGGTAGATGGGAAAAGAGGAAGGTGGCAACAACAAGTATGAGGGAGGTGAAAGTGTATAAACTAAGGGAGGAGGAAGTTTGGGTGAGATATAAGCGACTATTGGCAGAAAGGTGGGCTAGTGCAAAGATGAGTAGTGGGGGAGTTGAAGAGGGTTGGAATAGTTTTAAAAATGCAGTATTAGAATGTGGGGCAGAAGTTTGTGGTTATAGGAGGGTGGGGGCAGGAGGAAAGAGGAGTGATTGGTGGAATGATGAAGTAAAGGGTGTGATAAAAGAGAAAAAGGTAGCTTACGAGAAGTTTTTACAAAGCAGAAGTGTTATAAGAAGAGCAGAGTATATGGAGAGTAAAAGAAAGGTGAAGAGAGTGGTGAGAGAGTGCAAAAGGAGAGCAGATGAAAGAGTGGGAGAGGCACTGTCAAGAAATTTTATTGAAAATAAGAAAAAATTTTGGAGTGAGTTAAACAAGTTAAGAAAGCCTAGGGAAAGTATGGATTTGTCTGTTAAAAACAGAGTAGGGGAGTTAGTAGATGGGGAGAGGGAGGTATTAGGTAGATGGCGAGAATATTTTGAGGAACTTTTAAATGTTGAGGAAGAAAGGGAGGCGGTAATTTCATGCACTGGCCAGGGAGGTATACCATCTTTTAGGAGTGAAGAAGAGCAGAATGTAAGTGTGGTGGAGGTACGTGAGGCATTACGTAGAATGAAAGGGGGTAAAGCAGCTGGAACTGATGGGATCATGACAGAAATGTTAAAAGCAGGGGGGGATATAGTGTTGGAGTGGTTGGTACTTTTGTTTAATAAATGTATGAAAGAGGGGAAGGTACCTAGGGATTGGCAGAGAGCGTGTATAGTTCCTTTATGTAAAGGGAAAGGGGACAAAAGAGATTGTAAAAATTATAGAGGAATAAGTTTACTGAGTATACCAGGAAAAGTATACGGTAGAGTTATAATTGAAAGAATTAGAGGTAAGACAGAATGTAGAATTGCGGATGAGCAAGGAGGTTTCAGAGTGGGTAGGGGATGTGTAGATCAAGTGTTTACATTGAAACATATATGTGAACAGTATTTAGATAAAGGTAGGGAAGTTTTTATTGTATTTATGGATTTAGAAAAGGCATATGATAGAGTGGATAGAGGAGCAATGTGGCAGATGTTGCAAGTTTATGGAATAGGTGGTAAGTTACTAAATGCTGTAAAGAGCTTTTATGAGGATAGTGAGGCTCAGGTTAGGGTGTGTAGAAGAGAGGGAGAATACTTCCCGGTAAAAGTAGGTCTTAGACAGGGATGTGTAATGTCACCATGGTTGTTTAATATATTTATAGATGGGGTTGTAAAAGAAGTAAATGCTAGGGTGTTCGGGAGAGGGGTGGGATTAAATTATGGGGAATCAAATTCAAAATGGGAATTGACACAGTTACTTTTTGCTGATGATACTGTGTTTATGGGAGATTCTAAAGAAAAATTGCAAAGGTTAGTGGATGAGTTTGAGAATGTGTGTAAAGGTAGAAAGTTGAAAGTGAACATAGAAAAGAGTAAGGTGATGAGGGTATCAAATGATTTAGATAAAGAAAAATTGGATATCAAATTGGGGAGGAGGAGTATGGAAGAAGTGAATGTTTTCAGATACTTGGGAGTTGACGTGTCGGCGGATGGATTTATGAAGGATGAGGCTAATCATAGAATTGATGAGGGAAAAAAGGTGAGTGGTGCGTTGAGGTATATGTGGAGTCAAAAAACGTTATCTATGGAGGCAAAGAAGGGAATGTATGAAAGTATAGTAGTACCAATACTCTTATATGGATGTGAAGCTTGGGTGGTAAATTCAGCAGCGAGGAGACAGTTGGAGGCAGTGGAGATGTCCTGTCTAAGGGCAATGTGTGGTGTAAATATTATGCAGAAAATTCGGAGTGTGGAAATTAGGAGAAGGTGTGGAGTTAATAAAAGCATTAGTCAGAGGGCAGAAGAGGGGTTGTTGAGGTGGTTTGGTCATTTAGAGAGAATGGATCAAAGTAGAATGACATGGAAAGCATATAAATCTATAGGGGAAGGAAAGAGGGGTAGGGGTCGTCCTCGAAAGGGTTGGAAAGAGAGGGTAAAGGAGGTTTTGTGGGCGAGGGGCTTAGACTTCCAGCAAGCGTGCATGAGCGTGTTAGATAGGAGTGAATGGAGACGAATGATACTTGGGACCTGACGATCTGTTGGAGTGTGAGCAGGGTAATATTTAGTGAAGGGATTCAGGGAAACCGGTTATTTTCATATAGTCGGACTTGAGTCCTGGAAATGGGAAGTACAATGCCTGCACTTTAAAGGAGTGGTTTGGGATATTGGCAGTTTGGAGGGACATGTTGTGTATCTTTATACGTATATGCTTCTAAACTGTTGTATTCTGAGCATCTCTGCAAAAGCAGTGATAATGTGTGAGTGTGGTGAAAGTGTTGAATGATGATGAACGTATTTTCTTTTTTGGGGATTTTCTTTCTTTTTTGGGTCACCCTGCCTCAGTGGGAGACGACCGACTTGTTGAAAAAAAAAAAAAAAAAAAAAAAACATGTATGTGTAGTGTGACCTAAGTGTAAGTAGAAGTAGCAAGACATACCTGAAATCTTGCATGTTTATGAGACAGAAAAAAGGAAACCAGCAATCCTACCATCATGTAAAACAATTACAGGCTTTCGTTTTACACTCACTTGGCAGGACGGTAGTACCTCCCTGGGCGGTTGCTGTCTACCAACCTACTACCTAGACTCAACAGACTTATTACCCTATAATTTTTTATTTACCTTAATTATTATCCTTAAAGCATATGAAATATTAAGCAACTTCTTGGTGTTCACATATGAAAACCTGTACATGGTACAAAAACACAGTGATGAACATATATGAAGTGATCGAAAGTACCTAAAGATGAAAGCTGAGCACATAGAGCCAGGGATGCAGCTAAACGAGACAGAATAGCAGTCTGGGTACACAATGGCAAAAGAGAATCCAGAAGACACATGGGTAGGTCCACCAAGGGCCGAGACAAAAGTCGGCGGTCACTGTGTAGATCCCGTGGAGTAGCACAAGGCATTAGAGGGAAAACTGTAAAGCGCCACCCCCAACCATTTACTGATCCATCACTGGTAAACTTCCATCTCAATTCATCACCTGCAGATAAAAGAGAGAAACCTTAAATGAGTTATTCAGTTATATTTAACAATGAAATAATTTTTTCTCTGAATTGAAATGCTTTTTTTCACAATTATGCTCCACTACAGAAAACAAAGCACATAGATATTTTATAATTTGCATGCTTCATATTTCTTTTAAACATCTGGATGTGTTTATCACACTTTCACTGAAAAAATTAACCAAGTGAAAACTGAAACTGTACTATAGAGAAGAATACAAAGATTCTAAAATTTTCACAAGTATAATTTAAACAAACAAGTGATAATAGATCACAAAAAGATATACATGCCTCTTAGCCCTCAAATGTTCCCTTATGCAATGGTCACTCAATAAACTTTCTCTTATTCAAACTTAAGTACAACTAAAGCCCTTGCCAGTTTCAATTTGAAACTGGTTAACCAAGCAATTTGCAGCAAGAAATATTAATGTATCAAAGAAAAATGACACAACTATCACCTGTGGCAAAAATGGCAGTTCAGCATAATTATATGTACCAAGTGTAAGCACCATCTACTTTAATTTCTTTAAGACTGACTCAAGAAACCACAACCCTTCCTCCATGCAAAACATAATGGGAACATCACCATCCTAAACAAAAATAGGTACAGCAAGAATAAAGCAAATTTTAGAATTATTTGAAGGAGGCCCTTCAAAAAGATGGCAAATAAACAAAATCATTGAGCTTAAGTGTATCACAAATTTGCAGGGACAATTTTTTTTAATACACTAGTTGTCTCCCACAGAGGCAGGGTGACCCAAAATAAAGAAACACTTTCATCATCATTCACACTATCACTATCTTTGCAGAGGTGCACAGATATGTCAGTTTAGATGTCACTCTAAACAGAAAATATCCCAAAATTTTGATATAGACTAAAATAAAAATATTATACAGTGGTACCCCGAGTTTCAGCCATAATTGTTCCAGAAGGCCGTTCGAGTGCCGTTACCGAACGAATTTGTTCCCATAAGGAATAATGTAAATTAGATTAGTCTGTTTCAGACCCCCAAAAATACACTTACAAAAGCACTTACAATAATACACTTACATAACTGTCCGAGTTGGGAGCTCTACGAAACTTGAGGTACCACTGTACTTCAGTGAATAAAAGCAAATGTTCATTATTAAAAAATTATTACTGTATTTGCCATAAAAATTATACTGCAGTATTATTATTTGGAATACTGTACATGTAGGAAAACATACCAGCAATACGAACTTCAGTTGACCAGTCAGACCATTCCCTTCCTGATCGAGTGCAAATGATCTTGCCTGCTCCATCCATGATAGTCAGGGGATCATGCTTTCTTTCTGTTGAACACTGTCGATCAAATTCAACCCTCAGAGCCTCTGCACCTAAAGCGCATAAAAATAATGAATTTTTGAGGAAATAATTTTTTAACACAAAAGCCCTCTCCCACTAAGGTAGGGTGACTCAAATTATTTAATTCTTGTGCTGGACAATTAGAAAGGAAAATGTGTTTAGCACAAAAAAGTTATTAAAATGTTAATACTGTTATCACATACCTAGAATTTTAACAGCTCCAGTCAAGGTTACATCATCTGTATATGGATGTGAGCTTTCTTGGACAACAGGCTGAGGAACTGATCGCATTGCTTCTGTGTCTGATGCTGCATCTTCAATTTCAGTTACGCACAACTCAGTAAGCATCCCAGCTACAATATGATTTTCCCGTGCCAAACCTGAAAAAAAAAAAAAATGTCGGTTTCTTAAGTTTAAGTTTCAAACAAGCCTGCTAGATGTTCAAGCCTTCAGCACTTAGAACTTCCAGAACCCCTCTCTATAACCCTTTCTGGGACAATCGCTGTCCCTCCTCCTTTTCACCCCAGGCTTATATACCATCTTAGTCATCCTACTCTGTTCTAACTTCTGTAAATTCCCAAACTACCTCAACATTCCCTCCTCAGCCCTCTGAATTTTACTTTTGGTAACCCCATATAATTTTTTCATCTCCAGGCTCCAAATTCTCTGCATAATATTCACACTACATACAGGAGGGCACCACTTATACAACAGGTTAGGTTAAAGGCTGCCGCCGTAAAGTGAATCACAATTTTTTTCACTTATAAATGCATATAAACACTTCATAACATGTTTACACTATCATATATTAAGTTAGCAACAAAAGTAGGCATTAAAAACAATAAAATAATAAAATACACATTTGTCGTCTTAACGTAGGGTGAGAGGTGAGTAGAATTTATTGTAGGAAGTCAGATGTGGTATGAGTGGTAGCTTGCCTGGCTACCACACCTACACGTAATATCCGACATTTAAAGTGCCCCAGAGTGATAAAATGCATATACAGTACACTCATTATTTACCTTAAAATATTTGTAGTCTTAATGTGGGTGAGAGGTGAGTATTTATTGCAGAAAGTCAGGTGTGGTAGATCACCCAGATACCGTACTTACATGAAATATATGATATTTAAAGCGTCCCAGGATGATTATTATTATTACCATCGACATACCTTGCTCATTGAGTTTAATCATTTCTAAAAACTACGTTTAGATGCCATTGTAAATGAGGGAGAATGAGAGACATGCGGAGAATGGAAACAAACAGATGAACACGTATTAATTCCTGTCCACTTACAGTTCACACGTTCATTTTTGCATATGTTTGTGAAGCTTTTGTCCACAGTGCAAACACTTTACAATGTGTACAAGTTGTCTTCACGTTGGTGCAGTAGAATAAATAACAGCAACACTCCCATTCTCATGCAATACACAATTTTTAGAGAGAATGACACTATGAATGAAGGCATATGAAAGGAATATTTTTCTACAGTTAGCCCAGTAATACTGTTTTGTACACAGTTTCTCTGGTGTTGGACTAGAAAAATGCAATTCTTTCTGTCTCTCCTACAAGCCACCCAGCAACCACATCTCATATTTATGTCAATTTATTTTACTATGGTTGTGCATATTATGTTTATATGATATGTAGAATGCTTCTTATATAATTTTGAAAGAAAAATATCACAGAGGGATTAATGAAAAATGTCTATATTAACGTAATATACGAAATTTAAAATGCCCCAGAGCAATTACAGTGGACCCTCAACCAGCGATATTAATCCGTTCCTGAGAGCTCATCGTTAATCGAAATAATCGTTAGTCAAGTTAATTTTCCCAATAAGAAATAATGGAAATCAAATTAATCCGTGCAAGACACCCCAAAGTATTGAAAAAAAAAAAATTTACCACATGAAATATTAATTTTAATGCACACAAACTGAAGAAGACATGCACAGTTACATGACACTTACCTTTATTGAAGATCTGGTGATGATTGATGGGATGGGAGGAGGGGAGAGCATTGATCTTCTTAGTGTTTAGAAGGGGAATCCCCTTCCATTAGCAGTTGAGGTAGCAAGTCTTTTTCTGGGGTTAGTTCCCTTGTTCTTTTAATGCCACTAGGACCAGCTTCAGAGTCACTGGACTTCTGTTGCACAACATGTCTGTCCATAGATACCTGTACCTCTCGTTCCTTTATGACTTTCCTAGAGTGGTTCACAACATTGTCAGTGTACAGGTTGCCAACACGGCTTGCAGTAGCTGTGTCAGGGTGATTTTCATCAATAAAGGTTTGCACTTCAAGCCACTTTGCACACATTTCCTTAATCTTAGAAGTAGGTAGGCAACTTCTTCAATTTCTCTTTCCCCTCCTCCAAAGCAGTTTCCTCAGGTCTGCCCTCTTGCTGTTCAAGATGATCTAGCAGCTCATCAGTGGTTAGATCTTCATTGTCCTCCACCACCAACTCTTCCACATCCTCCCCACTAACCTCCAACCCCAAGGACTTCCCCAATGCCACAATGGATTCCTCAACTGGCATAGGATTCTCAGGGTTAGCCTCAAACCATTCAAAATCCCTTTTGTCTACACATTCTGGCCACAGTTTTTTCCAAGCAGAGTTCAAGGTCCTCTTAGTCACTTCCTCCCAAGCCTTACCTATAATGTTTACACAATTGAGGATGGTAAAGTGATCTTTCCAAAACTCTCTTAGAGTCAGTTGAGTTTCTGAGATCACTACAAAGCACCTTTCAAACATAGCTTTTGTGTACAGTTTCTTGAAGTTGGAAATGACCTGCTGGTCCATGGGCTGCAGGAGAGGAGTGGTATTAGGAGGCAAAAACTTCACCTTAATGAAGCTCATGTCCCTAACCATACCCCCGGCCGGGATTGAACCCGCGGTCATAGAGTCTCAAAACTCCAGCCCGTTGCGTTAGCCACTAGACCAGCTAGCCACAATAAGATTCATCCAACTAGGTATATTTCTACACCATAGGAAAGTTAGCACAGGCACCTCTGTGACCACAAATGCAAGTTTTTACAGACGAATCTCCAGCTAGTGTGGCCGTGACGAACTCTAGCGCAAGTCCCTTCACTGCCGTCAACATGACTCAAGAAATCGTAATGACACGATTGCAAACAAACCATACCCCCGGCCGGGATTGAACCCGCGGTCATAGAGTCTCAAAACTCCAGCCCGTCGCGTTAGCCACTAGACCAGCTAGCCACAATAAGATTCATCCAACTAGGTATATTTCTACACCATAGGAAAGTTAGCACAGGCACCTCTGTGACCACAAATGCAAGTTTTTACAGACGAATCTCCAGCTAGCGTGGCCGTGACGAACTCTAGCTCAAGTCCCTTCACTGCCGTCAACATGATTTAAGAAATCGTAATGACACGATTGCAAACAAACCATACCCCCGGCCGGGATTGAACCCGCGGTCATAGAGTCTCAAAACTCCAGCCCGTCGCGTTAGCCACCCCCGGCCGGGGGTATGGTTTGTTTGCAATTTTGTCATTACGATTTCTTTGTTTGCAATCGTGTCATTATGATTTCTTGAGTCATGTTGACGGCAGTGAAGGGACTTGAGCTAGAGTTCATCACGGCCACGCTAGCTGGAGATTCGTCTGTAAAAACTTGCATTTGTGGTCACAGTGGTGCCTGTGCTAACCTTCCTATGGTGTAGAAATATACCTAGTTGGATGAATCTTATTGTGGCTAGCTGGTCTAGTGGCTAACGCGACGGGCTGGAGTTTTGAGACTCTATGACCGCGGGTTCAATCCCGGCCGGGGGTATGGTTTGTTTGCAATCGTGTCATTACGATTTCTTGACTCATGTCCCTAGAAAGTCACTCTGCCAAGTCTGAAGGATGACCAGGAGCATTGTCTAATACCAGGAGGCACTTAAGGTCTAATTTCTTTTCAATTAGGTAATTTTTCACATTGGGGGCAAATGCATGGTGTAAAAAGTCGTAGAAAAAGTCCCTAGTGACCCATGCCTTACTGTTTGCCCTCCACAGCACACACAAATTAGCCTTGACGACATTGTTTTTCCTGAACACTCTGGGAGTTTCAGAGTGATACACCAATAAAGGCTTCACTTTGCAATCACCACTAGCATTGGCACACATCAACAGAGTAAGCATGTCTTTCATAGGCTTATGTCCTGGGAGTGCCTTTTCCTCCTGAGTAATGTACGTCCTGCTTGGCACCCATGGGACAAGTGGGGCGTGCTCAGGCCAAAGTGGACGTGTCTTGAACGGAACAAATAGTGTTGGTCAGGTTTTTAAGTGCTAGTCGAGGCAAAATTTTTGCATTAAAATGTATCGCTAGTCAGATTCATCGTTAATCGATGCCATCGCTGGTTGAGGGTCCACTGTATTGTTATTGTGCTTATTGCATCAACAGTACCGAGACACTCTTAGTGACTTTAACCCCTTAACCCTTTCAGGGTCGAGAGGCCCTCTCCTAAACTTGTTCTCAGGGTCGAAAATTTTTCGGAAAAAAAAAAATTTTTTTTCTTATGAAATGATAGAGAATCTTTTCCTGATCATAATGACACCAAAATTATGAAATTTGATGGAAAACTTATGGAATTATGCTCTCGCGAAGTTAGCGGTCTCGATGATGTTTACACTTCGGCAATTTCACCCACTTTGAGCCCTATTTTCGGTTAATTCTAGTGAACTAGTCGACAAAAATCATAATTATTTCACTAGAACTCCATTTTTTCTGTCGAATGAGTACAAGAAGCCACCCATTTCAACTATCCAATAAGGTGGTCAGAAACTGGCAATTTTGTGAATTTCACACAGATTTCAAAAGATGCCAATTTCCAAATAGGGTCCAGAATAAATGAGACAGATATTCCTGGCACTAAAATAACATTTTCTTTGTTCATTAGTCATGTCCCCAGGCCCCTCTTACATCTCTTTTGCTTTCCACTTTGAATTTTTATTCTCACAAAAAATAGAAGATTTACTGTTATGCAGACTACTGCATTAGTGTAGAAATGGTCTAAATAATATCAGCGCACTTGTGAACGAATATTAGACTCACTAGTTGACGTGTATTGGATGCATGGCATGATTTGTTTACTTTTGAACTTTAGCAAAAATCGAACATTTCTGCTACTCTGAGCTCAATTTCAATGTACTTTTCATTGTGAAACCAATCAAAATCATCTCAAATTCTGTAACATGTCTTCCATTCAATAAAATGAGACAAAGAAAACAAGAATACAACCATAAATACCATACGAAAATACAGTGCAAAGTCGCTGTTTTAAACCAAAAACATGGTCAGAGTTTTTTTTTTCTCATTATACACTGTGTGCTGCAGGATTTTTTTATACTGTGCACACTGACCACATAGACCCA